GACAGGGTTTCTCTGTGTAGCTTTGCGCCTTTCCTGGAACTCACTTGGTAGCCCAGGCTGGCCTCGAACTCACAGAGATCCGCCTGGCTCTGCCTCTCGAGTGCTGTGATTGAAGTCGTACGCCACCGCCGCCCTGCTTCTCTGCCTTTAATACTGCTTTTTTTTTTTTTTTACAGCCAAGGATCGAACCCAGGGCCTTGCACTTGCTAGGCAAGCACTCTCCCACTGAGCTAAATCCCCAACCCTAATACTGCTTTTTTTTTTCTGCCTCTCACAGTTTCCTCTACGCTGTGGCTTGTAGCGTGTCTTTTAGAGCTCCATTCCTTTGGGGGAGGGGGCTGTAGAATGCTCCATTGCATGTCCACGCACAGATCCTGACATGCTCCATTGCGTCTTTCAACATCCATGCACATACCTGGACTGTCTCGTGAGGCTCATCCCTTCTAGGAGCTTGTTCTGATCTGGGATGTAGCAGAGGCCTCTAAGCTACAGAGGAAAACTAAGACAGAGCTCTTTTTAATAGTGGGGAAAGTATTTTAACATTTCAAAATATATGAAAGCTGGTCACGGCGGTTCATCCCTGTACTCCTAGCACTTGGAAAGCTATCATGAGTTTTTGCAGCAAAGTGACTATCTGGAAAAAAGGGAAAACCCCAACAAGGTGTTGGGAGAGACAATTGTGGGTAAAGTGCTTGCCACAGGAGCATGAGAAACAGTGTTCGAGCCTCAGCACCCACATAAAAAAGCGGGCCATGGCAGCCTGTGCCTGTAAACCTGGTGCTGGGGAGTCAAAGACTGAGGATCACTGGGGCTCCCTAGCCTGTGAGTTCCAGGCCAGTGGAAGATCCTGTCTCAACAAATAAGGTGGTTACCTGAGGAATAACATCTAAGATTGACCTTTGGTCTTTGCATGTACCTACACACATATGCACACGAATACACACACACACATGCACTCGATACACAAAAAGGCACAACTCACTAGTGTTTACTATGTGCTGTACAGCCATCACCTCTAGCGAGTTCTATGTTAGTCGGCTTTCCGGTGCTCTGAGAAGTGACCCGACACCATCAGCTTATGAAGGAAAAAGGTTTCTTCTGTCTCACAGTTGTAAAGGTTCCGCTCTGTGGCTGATTGCCCCACACAGCACGACGTCATGACGGGAGCACATGGCAAAGGGGTCCCATTCACTTCACAGCTGGTTGGGAGAGAGCGACAGGAAGAGGAGGTGAGGCAGCTCGGGTCCCACACTCCCCTTGGAGGGCACGCCCACAGTGATTCAAAACCGGAACCTGAGTGAGCCTCATCCGGCAACTGCTCTGCCTCTGCTTCTCAGCCCTGACCACCCTGACCCCCGGATTTTTCCATTCTGGATATTTCTCCCCCGCCCCCCACATTTATTTATTTTGTGTGTACATCTACGATATCACATGCATGCCATGTGGAGGTCCGAGGACAACTTGGAAGATTCTACACTCTCCTTGTACTTGCTTGGGTTCCAGGGATCAAATTCAGGTGGTCGGGGTTAGTCACAAGCACCTTCCCCTGCCGAGCCATTTCGTCCGCCCTCTATGTATTTGTACTGTGAGTGTGTCTGGTACCACATACACAGGAAGGCCAGAAGAGGGCGCTAGATCCCCTGAAACTGGAGTTATGGACAGTTGTGAGTTGCCATATGGGTGCTGGGGATTGAACCCAGGTCCTTTGCGAGAGAACACACAGTGTTCTTAACCTCTGAGCCATCTCTCCAGCCATGTGACTGGTGTTCCCTGCATCTTTATATCAGATGCCCTTTGGTCCTAGTTAATTCCTAAAGAGTAGGATTGAGCTGGGCGGTGGTGGTGCACGCCTTTAGTCCCAGCATTTGGGAGGCAGAGGCAGGTGGATCTATGTGAGTTCAAGGCCAGTCTGGTCTACAGAGCGAGATCCAGGACTGCCAGGACTGATATACAGAGAAACCCTGTCTCAAAACCCTGCCCCCCAAAAAAGAATAGGATTGAACAAATTAATCTTTGTCTCCCACCTTAAGACAGATGTTTGGAGTTTTTTAAATGTGTGTATTCATTTATTTATTTATTCCCCGTCCTCCTTTTTAAGACAGAGTCTCTCTATGTAGCCCTGGTTGGCCTGGAACTTTCTATGTAGACCAGGCTGGCCTTGAATTCACAGAGATACACTTGCCTCTGTCTGTTGAATGCTAGAATTAAAGATGTGCACTACCCGGATTGGCTCATTTGCTGTTGGCATGTGTGTTTATGTGTGTGCACATGCCACCACCACACACATGTCAGAGAACAACCTGCAGGAGTCAGTTTCTACCCTCCACCATGTGGGTCCCGGGAATCTGGTTGTCAGGCGTGACAGACACCTTCACCCACTGAGTCTCTTGCCAGTTCAAATTCTGAATATTCTTTTCTATCTTTTTTAAAAAAAAAAGTCTTTAAAAAAATTTATTTTTATTTCATGTGCATTGGTATTTTGCCTGCATGTATGTCTGTGTGAGGGTGCTGGATCCCCTGGAACTGGAGTTACAGGCAGTTGCCATGTGGGTGCCGGGAATTGAACCTGGGCCCCCCCAGAGGAGAAGCCAGTGCTCTTAAACACTGAGCCATTCTTTATCTGGTTTCTCTCACTTAGCCTGGGGTGTTCAGAGTTCATCCGCATTGCATCATGCCTGTTATCAGTGCCTCGTTCTTTTTCTTGTAGACCAGGCTGGGCTTGAACTCACTTTTCATGGTTGAATAGTGATCCGTTGTATGAAAATACCACAGCTTACTTATCCACTGTTCCACCTCTCCATCCGTCTTTTGGTAAACCCTGTAGGTGTCCCAGATCACTCCTGTTGAATCAAAAGGGTATCCCACTACACCTAGCTGACTCTGTGCTCTTTCTCACAAATGGTTATTTGTAAATGTCGACACGCCCTTGCAGCAATGGCTTGGTAGTTAAGCGTGCTTGTCCCGTCGTCATGGGGATCAGAGTTTGGATGCCAGTATCAGACATAACAAACCCGACACCTCACACACACCTGTGACCCCAGTTTTGAGGAAGGATGAGGAGATGGGAGGATTTCTGGGCCTCACTGGATTTCAGCCTAGCCCAGATGTGAGCCTCGAGTTCAGGAGGACACCCCTGCCACAGAGGAGCAGGTAGCGAGTGATGGAGGAGGACCCTGACATACACACATGAGGAACGTAAATCTTTACATTTATGTGCTTAAAACGCAGAGGAGCTTCAAGCGGACACAATTGTCCCGAGCATCTCTGTGCTTGTTCCCAGTAATTTTTCCTATAGGTGGGTACTATATATCCACTCACTCATATAAGATCTGAAATTTTGGGCTGGAGAGATGCCTCAGCAGTTTGGAGGACTGACTGCTCTTCCAGAGGTCCCGGGTTCAATTTCCAGCACCCACATGGCAGCTCACAATTGTCTGTGACTCCAGTTCCGGGGGACCCAAAACCCTTGGCAAAACACTAATGCATATAAAAACAATTTTTTAAAAAATCCAAACTTTGTTTTTAATTACTTATTTTTTTTTTTAATTGGTGTATTGCTTGCATGTCTGTGTGAAAGTGTTGGATTACTTGGAACTGGAGTTCCAAACAGTTGTGAGCTGCCAAGTGGGTGCTGGGAGTTGAACCCGGGTCCTCTGGACGTGTAGCCAGTGCTTTTGACCACTGAGCCGTTTCTGCGGCCCCTTCAGAGTTTTTTTAAAATTAGTTTTGTAAGTGTCTGATGTGTGGGTGGGCGCGTACCTCAGCATGTGTGTGGAGGTCAAAGGCTAACTTCCGGAAGTTGTTTCTCTTCCCACTGTGGGCTGCAGGCATTAGGTTTGTGTGGTAAGGCCTGCAAGGCAAATAACTTTTCACCCACTGAGCCATCGACGGCCTCTGCCGTCCTCCTCCTCCTCTCTTCTTCCTCTTGACAGTGTCCTTTGTATCCCAGGCTAGCCCTGAACTAGATAAGTAGCCAAGGATGACCTTCAGCTCCCAATCCTCCTGCCCCTGTCTCCCAAGTGTTAGTGTTACAGACGAGTACCACCAAACCATTTTGTGGGTTCTGAGGATCGAACCGTAATGTGCATGGCACCTTAGGCAAGCACTGGACTATTTGAGCTACAGCCCTCAGCTCAGTAGGTGCTTTCTGAAGGTAGACTAGCTGGCCTTGGTGGCTCTGAGATCTGTAACACACACCACACACACACATACCACACACACACACACACCACACACACACACCATACACACACACACACACACACACACACACACACACACCCTGCCCCCCTGTCTGACTCAGAGTCTGAAATGAAGCATGCATGTCCCCCCCCCTCTGCTCTTTTGCAGGGCCCCCTCCATCAGCTCCTCAGTGCTCAGTGGGGGTGTCTTCAGACTCCATCGTCCTGGAACTCGCCTGTAATTGGGATGGGGGCTACCCTGATCCGACCTTCCTGTGGATGGAAGAACCCGGAGGGATGGTCGTGGGGAATTCAAAGCTGCAAGCACTGAGCCCCGCACAGCTGTCGGAGGGCAAGAAGTTCAAGTGCGTTGGGAGCCACATTGTGGGACCAGAGTCGGGAGGCAGCTGTGTGGTACAGATCTGTGAGTCTGCCTTGCTTTGTCCCGGGGTTGGGGTTCACCTGCCTGTCTTTCTTCTCAAAGAACCGTTTGATGATAGTCCTGTGAGAGAAACTCAGTGCTGGAGTGCCCAGAATCTCCCCCACCTCTCCCGGTGCCTCATGGCTGTTCCCTTCCAAGTTTAAAGATGTTCTCCATCACGGCAAACACTGGACTGTGTGCCTGTGCCCTCCTTTCTAGTCACTTGGCACAGTGAGCAGGATGGACGGGAGGCCTCTGTCTTCTTTATCGTGTAACCGAGAATCCCTCCCATACTTGGTGGCTTAAACCATACCATTTGTTGCCTGAGGATTTCTGGTAGGGTGCGGTTCTCTTCTCAAGAATGTGATGGGATGGGGTGTTAGTCAGACGACTTGGAAGTTGGGGTGCTGGAATTATGAAAAAAGGTACATGTCACAGGTGCTCACTCATATGCATGGCGAACTGTCCCCTTTCCACATGGGACTACCCTGGGGCTGCCAGTGTGTCCTCTCAATGTGGTGACCCACTTTCTTGAGAGCCAGTGATACAAGCTGAGCTGAGCCAGGCAGGAGTGACCATTTGCAGGACCTAGCCTTGGGAGTTGCTTGCACGGTCTGCCTTCTGGACCCTTCTGTCTCTTAGCAACAAGTCACTACCTGGAGCCCACACTCAAGGGGGGGTGGAGGAGAATTATCAGGCTCCTTTGTTCTCTTGTGGTTTTGTGCTGGAGATGAAACCGTAGATCTCACACATAGTAGGATATCCTCCCTTGACCCCCCCTTTCCCGCTCCCCATCCCCCACTCACCCAAGACCCTGTCTCTTGAGAGAGACAAGGGATACTAGGGTGGAGGGTAGAGCAGACCTTGCTTAGCCTGAGTGAGGCCGAGGATTCTGTGTACCTGCTGCACCCCCACAAAAGAGGGGCTGGCTAGATTGCCAGGTTGACTCTGAGTTCCTGGGCTCAAGTGCCCTCCAGCCTCAACCTCCAAAATAGTGAGGGGGACCACAGACAGGAGCCATCATCCTCCACTGCAGACATGTCAAAGTGGCCTGTGGGTCCATTCATTGAAAAATGAAGCGTATGCTTTGGGTGAAGGGCCACCCCTGCCAACCCATCATGTGAAGGCCCCCACAGCCATCCTCACTTGGGGAGCTCCACATGCCCCACATCTTTTGCAGTCTTTCTCGCTGTCCCTGTCCAGTGCATCCTCTCGGATAAACTCTTTGAATGGATAGCTGCCGTGCTGGTCAAGTGTGTGTGTTCTATTTTGTGTTCGTGGGTGTTTTACCTGCACATATGTCTATGCATCATGTGTGTGCCTGGTGCTCTCGGAGGCCAGAGGAGGGCACTGGATCCCCGGGAGCTGGAGTTAGAGATGGTTGTAAGTTGCCATGGGTGGGCGTTGGGAATGGAACCCAGGTCCTGTGCGAGAACGTAATGTGGTCTTACTTTAGGGTTTCTGTTGTGGCGGTGAAAACACCATGACCAAAGCATTTTGGGGAGGAAAGGGTTTCTTTGGCTTACACTTCCACATTACAGTTCATCATCAGAGGAAGTCAGGACAGGAACTCAAACAGGGCAGGATCCTGGAGGCAGGAGCTGCTGCAGAGGCCATGGAGGGGTGCTGCTTACTGGCTTGTTCCTCATGGCTTGCTCAGCCTGCTTTCTTGTAGAACTCGGGACCACCAGCCCAGGGAAGGCCCCACCCATAATGGGCTTGGCCCTCCCCCATCAATCACTAATTAAAAAAATGCCCTGTGGGCTTGCCTACAGCCCAGTCTTATGGAGGCATTTTCCCATTTCCCCTCCTCTCCAGTGACTGTAGCCTGGGTCAAAATTCACGTGAAATTAATCAGCACATCTCTTAACCCTTCCCAGCCATTTCTTCAGTTCTGTGGGTAATGTTTTGAAGAGTGTGCTCTGCCTGTCAGCCTAGTCACAAGCATGACCTCTTGTTTGGGGTCTGGGAAAAAGTCACCAGGGGCTCGCTTAAGGAAAAAACAAGCCAGTTCTGAAACTCTGGTTTGAGTGTCCCTCAATATTAGCACACCAGTGACGCTTGCCACTCTTGTTGACTTCATGACCCGGAAGGAGATCTAGGTTCCCCACAGAGAGGAGGGAAAGGCACCATCCAGCTATGAGGAAAGATACCTTTTTTGTTTTTTGGTTTTGGTTTTTCAAGACAGGGTTTCTCTGTGTAGAAACTCACTCTGTAGACCAGGCTGGCCTTGAACTCAACAGAGATCCGCCTGCCTCTGCCTCCAGAGTGCTGGGATTTAAAGGCATGTATTGTCTGAATCTTAGATGGTCTTTTAATAAAAAAAAAACAGAGCCAGATATCAGGGTGAAAGCTGAAAGATCAGAGAAGCAGAACAGCCAGGCACTAGCTCTTACCTCTATGAAATCCTCAGCCTCAAGAGAGTGAGTTCCTGTTTCATCAAGCCTTATATACCATTCTCTGCCCTGCCATATTACTTCCTGGGATTAAACGTGTGTGCTTCCTAAGCAAAGGCATGAGATCTCAAGTGCTGGGATTAAGGCTGTGTGCCACCACTGCCTGACCTCTATGTCTAATCTCGTGGTTGGCTCTGTTGTCTGATCTTCAGGCAAGTTTATTAGGGTACACAATATATCACCACAGGCAAGCACCAGCACTGCCTGGCTGATGAGTAGCCAAAGGGTCAGTGATGAAGTCACCATGTTGAGATGGGGACATAGACATCGATGATGTTAGCGTGTTGAGATGGGCACGTTATTCTGGGTTATCCCGTGGTCCTAGTGTCATTCTGTGGGTCTTTATAAGAGGGAGGTGGGAGGTCAGAGTATAGGATCTTAGAAGGAAGACACTTAGAAGATGTGAGGAAGGGGTGGCGTCAAGAAACACAAAAAGATGTCAGACATGATGGCACCTGCCTTTAAATCCAGCCGCTCAGGAGGCAGAGACAGGTAGGTATCTGAGTTCCAGGCTAGCCTGGTCTACATAGTGAGTTCCAGGCCAGCCTAGTCTATATATTGTATTTCAGAACAGCTAGGTCTACATAGTGAGTTCCAGGCCAGCCAGGGCTACATAGTGAGTTCCAGACAAGGCTAGTCTACATAGTAAGAGCCTATCTCAAATAAAACAACACAAGAAAGAAGAAAAGAGTGGCCAGGCGGTGGTGGCGGCTCATGCCTTTAATCCCAGCACTCGGGAGGCAGAGCCAGGCAGATCTCTGTGAGTTCAAGGCCAGCCTGGTCTACAGAGTTCCAGGAAAGGTGCAAAGCTACACAGAGAACACTGTCTCGAAAAACCAAAGGAAAAAAAAAAGAAGAAAAGAGTAGCTAGAGAGATGGCCCAGTGGCTAAGAGTGCTTTCTGCTCAGAGAGGACCCAAACCCCTTGCAAGGTTCCAGATCTCAGGCCCCTTGTCAGGTGACTTACAAATCCAGTTCCAGAGGGATCTGGTCCCTCTGGCCTTTGAGGGTATCCATACATGGGCACTACTCATTCCCCTCCACCTGCACACATACCACATACATGTAATTAAAAATAAATATACACACTCAAAACTGAGAGGGAGGGGATCTGGGTGTGGGGTGTGGTAACATGCTTATAATCCTTATCTGAGGAGGCGGTGGAGGCAAGGAGGCTCAGGGGTTCAAGGCCAGCCTCAGCTACATAGCAAGTTCAAGGACAGCCTGTGCTACATGAAACCCTGTTGGGGGGAAAAACAGCACAGGGACCGACCTTCAGTGTGAGAAGGATGGGCTCCCTGGAGCATCCAAAAGGAGCCAGCTCTGTTAGCACCCTGACTTTTTAACCTCATAAAATCATTTCACTATCACAGAACATGGCTTTAGCCACTGAGTTGGTGGTAGCTTGTCACATCAATGAGAGGACACAGCTGTCCTGTCCTCTTCTTGACCCTCCTTGGCCTGTATGTCAGCGTTTAACACGGTCGGTGTACATTATGGCTGTATGTTTGTGTATGGGTGTGTGTGTGTGCGGGTGCACATGCGTGTATGTGTGTCCGTGTACCACAGTGTGAACATAGAGGTCGGGGGACAACTTGGGCTGATGTCCCTTCTCTCCCGTCACGTGTATCTCGGCGATCTAGCTCAGGACCTTGGCAGCAAGCTCCTTTATTCACTGAGCCCTTTCACTGGCCCGTGTGCCTCTTGTATGTAGATGTGTAAGACAGTGGGTGGCAGAGCCTGGGCCTTGGGTCTCGGGGTCCATGGTCATCATCAGCCTATCTGGTTTCACCCGGAGCTGTATTGGAGTTGCACGGAAAACCTCACGACCCAGCAGCCTTCTGAGTCCTGGGCAAAGTGGGACAACAGGTCCCTCTGTGTCCTAGCCATATCTCTTATTTACCTTGTGTGACTGAGCAAGTCGCTTGGCTTTCTTTGTGCCTCCGTTTCCTTCTCTACAAAATGGGAATCATCTCGAGGCTCTTTTGAGACTGAGTTGGGCTCATTGGCATACTGCTCCTTGTGCACAGTTAAGTACCCGACAGATGTTAGGCTTTATTCTGGAGGACGAGGCAAGGTGTGGGAATTAGGAGCATTACTTGTTTTGCTGGGAAAGGAGAGGCCATGGCTTGAATCTCCTGAAACATTTGCCTCTGTTTACCCTCTCCCGACCACCAGCGAGCCCCTCACTTGCTTCTCAGCCCATGAAAACTTGCTTCGTGGGGGGCAACGTGACGCTCACCTGCCAAGTGACAGGCGCCAACCCACCCGCCAGGATCCAGTGGCTGAGGAACCTCTCGCGACCCGACGCGGTCATCCAGCCCAGCAGCCACCATCACATTACCCAGCACGGCCAGGACTCCTTCCTCACCATCCACAACTGCTCCCAGGACCTGGACGAGGGCTTCTACTTCTGCCGGGCTGAGAACCTCGTGGGGGTGAGGGCGGTAGACATCTGGCTGAGCGTGAAAGGTAGGTGCCGAGGGTGGCCCCGAAGAGTTAGGAGCCTCAGAGGACCTGGCGCCATTGAGGGGGAAGGCCTTGGGGGCCCCCCTTCACGTAAGCCATGGCCAACTGAAGATGGCGTATCTGCTTGCCTGGGGTTTGACAGGGTGGCTGAGAAAATTAGTGTCCAATCCTGGAAGCACTAAAATTACTCCTGTTACTCACCAAAACCTATGTGTTAGAACCTGCATATACACATATACATGCATACATATATATATATATATATATATATATATATATATATATATATATATATACACACACACACTCACACACACACAAAGGGAATTCATAGTTCTCTTCTATCCTGGAACTCCCCGTGGCGGGGCAGGGCAAGTTCTAGAAATCACGGTTAACAATTTGTATATCTTAAGGCATAAAAGCTCTGGGTCCCATCTCCCTCCCCTCATAAAGGAATGGTGGCACCTGTCTGCCATCCCGTCACTCAGGAGGTGGAGGCAGGAGGATCGGAAGTTCAAGGTCATCTCAGATATGTAGAGAGCTTGAGGCAGCCTGGGCCATAGGCCCTGTCCAAAAACAAGAAAGAAGGAAGGGAGGGAAGGAGGGTGGGAGGGAGGGAGT